AGGAGCACATTTGGATGCTAATGCCTGCCCTCAATCTAAATGTATACACAACGTGAGACTCAGGCATTCTCTGACTAAGGTGAAGCCATAGACTGTAAATATTAAAGGACAAAGCCTGAGTGACTGTTACTGCAGGGGGCTCTGAAGGCTTATTGGTGGCAGCTGCCACGCTCAAGATCCTGTCTCAGCCTAACTTTCTGTCTGTCAATCAGGTCAGCTACGAGCACTAACTATTGATAACAAGTATGAACATGGATGCGTAATAAAAAAATAACCGCTGTACAGTGTGTGCCCATGAGGACAATAACTAATCAGAACCAATATCTTTTTGGTGTGTGTAAACATGTATAAATTCTGCTGTAAAAACTGGTATTTTTGAATGTGGTGTGTGACTTCTGGGGCTCTTGGAGCCAGCCTCAAGTGGACCCTCAGATAACTGCAGGATTTTGCACTTCTGCATTGTTTTTTTTCAACACCGGGGGTTGCTGCTTGGTTGGAGCCCATGTAGGAAGTGGGCAAGTGTGAACGAGGGATAGAACCACAAGAGATAGCTGTATGGGAGTTGCATGTAGACATAGATTCTGTAGTTAGGGTTCATGACATGCGCTGAGCCTCGCTGTGGTCCTGCCAAAATGTGTTTCTATTATGTAAACAAATATGTTATGTCAGCAAATTATTCTCACATGCCTCACATTCCTCACCTGATGTACTGTAAAAAAAACAAAAAAACACCTGTTTTCTTAAGTTATCTACTGGCTTTTATTCATGTGTTTGAGGTGTGAAACTTGTTTGCAGATGAATGGAGGCTCCTGCAGAGAGACATCTGCTGCTCTGTGCAAATGAACACTCAACCTTCAACAAACCCCAAACATTCAGACATGTCTCCTTTGAACTGAATGCTGTAGGTAAGTTTAATGTGTTATTGCCGAATGAAGTTTTATATCAAAAATCTGTCATGTTTCTTGTAACTGCTAAATAAACTCAGTGAAGCAACATCAAAGTAGTATCTGAGCTCAGTAACGTCAGATCTATACTTTGGTAGATTTCTGCATCCGCACAAGCTTAAATGTTTTTTCATTGTGATCTCTGCTGGCGTCCATAACGATTCTCTGAGAGTTCACAGTTTATCCATAAACCTGACACACTGTAATCATCTGTTCATCAGAGACAGAGTTTGTCCTCCGCTCGTCATTTCCCCTGATGTGAGTGATGTCAAAGCTGCAGCAGGTCAGTAGATAATCAACATAATGACTTTTCATCAGAGCGCTGACCCTAAGACCCACATAGTGTGTGTGTGTGTGTGTGTGTGTGTGTGTGTGTGTGTGTGTGTGTGCTTCTGTCTCTCTTATAAATGTGTCTACCTGTGTTAATCCGTCCTATCATCCTCTTACCTTGCCTGCAGCATTTATCTCTGCAATAAAGACAAAAGATGAATATTTCCCTTTATGAATCAATAAACTAAATATTTCTAGCTTTCATCAGGACACCGTTTGGAGCTGCAGGTCGTGGGTTTTCACATTGGTTTGCTTTATTTTTGTCCAGCTTGAACCTTAGAGCTTCTTGCAGGTGAAAAAAACTCTGGAGTTATAGTTTCAGCGCCTCCAGAACAGCCAGACGAACATACCTGGATGCTGCTTTCCTCTGTCCGTTAGAACTTTTTAAGACACTCCAGAAGCTGATTTCCCATCTGCCATCAGAGGTTCCTCAATCTTTGGCAGCAGACTTCTATTTCTGGTTCTGCTTTCTTTGGTCCCGATCGTTTCCTAGTCTGGGTCTTGGATTTTCACTTCAGTCTTCTACAGGTTCAGGTACAGAGAAAATCCTGTTTTAACTCAATTTGATTCATGATACAATGAGGCTTTAACCAAAAAGTGCCATTTGAGTCTTTGCTCCAGCAGCTCAATAAGTAAATATATTGTAAATAAAAATAGCTGAATTTTTCAGACAAACACAATGGAAAAAAGATAATTGTTTAAATAGATCACTTGTTGAACCCTCATGGTGATTTTATGCAGTTGTATGCAAAAAAAAAAAAAAATGTTTTTTTAATTTTATTCAAAACATTCTGATATAAAAACAAAAATGACATGATTTTTTATGTATGATTTGGCCAAATCTTTACATGGTCACAATCTGAATTAAACAGAATTAAATAAAAAATGTGTGTATGGTTTTGCATCATAAAAGTATAGGCCTATATCTAAAATACAAACAAGCATTGAGTCATTCCTACTCAGCCATAAGCATTCATTAATCTAACTGTACACATAACAAAGTACTCTTTATTAGTACAGTGTTATAGTAATAATACTTTTTTATATTGTCTACATTCATTCAACTCCATTTTTTTGTTGTATTTTTGGGTCTTTTTGCCTTTATTAGACAGGACAGCTGAATAGACACAGGAAAAGTTGGGAGGAGAGAGAGGGGGATGACATGCAGCAAAGGGCCGAGATCAGATTTGGACGCATGGAGGACTACAGCCTCCATACATGGGGTGCTCGACATAACAGCTAGCTCTCCGGTGCCCCAATCTTAACAACTTTTAATACAAACAGCTGGTGAATTCAGGGAAAAATGTTGGTATGTAAACATCATCAGGCAGAATCTAACAAGAGAAGAATGATTCTTTAAACACGACCGGTTCCATTAGGAAAGGGTTTATAAAATGGTAGTTATGGATCTGTATGAATTCTTACATTATTAGTGATTGATAAAAAAAATGATTATGGACAACCATTTTGACAATAAAGAAGGAAGTGGACTTCAAAGTTTTTTCCTGCCCAAACTTTCACAAAGAAGCAAAAAAAAAAAAAAAATGCTTGCCAAGGACCTCATGCCAACAGATTGATTATTACAGTAAGTAGTGTCATTTCGAGCCAACATGCTCCTCCTCAGACTGCCCAGACTTTCTACATTAAAACTAAATTAAATTTTCAACATGTATCTAATATTGACTGAATGCGTCACATGAATGATTTGAGTGTTATAATTCACAGCAGCTTTATCAGCAGCTTTTGCCTGTCGCCCTCATTATTTTCCTCATTCTGAAGCCCTGCAGGGTTAACTTTATCCACCTGCACAGGATGCTTCATTACACTGCCTTTAGTGTTCAATATTCACTCATCATACTGAAGCACAGTGTGCCTGGTCCAGTGGTCTAATGGGATCAATTGGACAAACACATCCAGACATGATGAATGTTCTGATTTGAATATTGGTTTTGATCCATTACAATTCAAAATAATGGGACCGATTGCTTTCATAAAGTAAAAGCTATACAAACTTTTATATTTTTTTAGGAGCTTGACTCCTCAATTGACCAAAATACAATTTGTCTTTTGACAGTTTTTTGGTGTGTTATGGTGCTACACAAAATGTAGCCTGAAACATTCATTCTAACTCAAAACCAACAGATTTGTTTTATTTCAAACTAGCACTCCATCCTTAAATTACAGACTCAAGCAATATCACTTATGAACTACAGGGGCGGATCCAGTAGTCCAACACTCTTAACAGTGATTGGCATAACAGTTAAAATCTGCAAAGTACTTTGTTTCAGTCGTTTACATTGATATGATAAGTGAAGGGTAGATTCATTATTTTCATTCATTCATGTGTGTGCACACAAGTTCATGCTAACGGCCCCAGTTGGGCAACCTTAGATTCCAAAAAGTCTGGCTCGGCCCCAAACAAGTGATTTTACATTACATATCTATTCATCCATTCACACTCATATTCATACATTGTACACTGATGGCAGAGGAAGATATACGTGTCCACAAATTATTCCATTCATACCCTTAAAGAGCCCATATTATGCCCTTTTTGGGGTTCATATATTTAATCTATGTACCTACTAAAGTATGTTCACAATTGATAAAGTTTGAAAAAAGTGTCTGTTTTCATGTACTGCCACTCCATGCACCGGCTCGCTTCTGACTCTCTCTCTAAGGCTCTGAAGTGCCCACGTTCTTTAACATGTGCTGGGGAGCTATTCAGGGTCAGAACTTTGCCCGAAGACAAGAACTGGGATCCGACCACCAACGTTCCGATTGAGAAACAACTGAGTCTACCAGTGAACCAACACACACTCAGTGTTTGTCAAGCATTGATTTGTTTGTGGTGTCACTCATAGGCATCAGGATCATTTCTAGCTTTATCCGCATGTTAGAAAGCGTTGTGATGAGAAGACCATGTGTTTGTTGTTCAGCCGTCTTTTGTACTCCCACTGTCTGCAAATTTATTTGTGTCTTTTCAGTTGATAATGAAAAAACTATGGTCAGTTACCAATGTAATCTTGTACTTTGGAAAATATTATCTTGAACATGTGGTAAGCCAGCTTTTGAAATGGCCTTTGGCGCAGCTGTAATAAATTGGTGTTTGCTAACCCTTTCCCCTCTCCAGTGCCCAAACTATAGCTTCAATCAGGGTCGACAAACCAATTAGGCAATTTAAACGGCTATTTATTTTACCCAGATACACTTAAACTCTGTGTTTAACTCTGTTGTGGTGATTTCCAAAGAGTTGTTGACTTAAGCAGGCTCCATTTTCCAAGTGAACATTAGCTTGTTCACTGTTGCACATTAGGGGGGCTAAGGAGCCCAAGGCTTACACATCACAACCTTGCATACACATCACAACTTTAATTTTAACAAGCAAAAACCATTCTAAGCTTTAAACCAGCAGCTGTAACCTCGGCCCCTGAGAGAGGAAAAGGTCTCATTTTGTAAATTGCATTAGTTTGTTCGGACATTGGCACTAGAAAGGGATAATAAATAGGCTTTTTTGGGGGGCCGACTTCAGTGACATAATTTTGTTTTTACTACCATATGTCAGGGTCTATTGATGTGCATGCTCAATAAATGAATACAAATGTATTTTTGTCTAATAATAATTGAACCTGTCAATCACGATATCTCTCTGTCTCTTTCTCTCCACATTCACACAGAGTCCGAGGAGGAGCGAGGAAGAGGAGGAGGAGGAGGAGGAGGAGGAGGATGAACGGCGGGAAGAGCGCGCTTCTGCCGTCCGCGCGGCAGAGCATCATCTCGTGCAGCGAGGTGAACTGCACGGCGCGAGGCACCCTGGCGCTGTCAGCAGCATCCGCGTGGAGCACCAACGGGTCGGCGGTGGATGCGTACCGGCTCGAGGAGCTCCAGCTTCCCGCCTCGGCTGCCCCGACGGTGAGTCACTGTTAAATTCAGCGCTGTGTCTCTCTTCCAAAGGTCTGTAAACTGCTCACTTCCAGAAATAGTTTAGAAACGAACTCCCTGTTCAATTTAATATTGACATACTTATTTGTAAATAACTTTTAATGAGTGGGCTACACTGAAACCCAGAGGGAGTTGTTAGGCTATTCACCATTAACACAATTTAACAGACAGCAGCGAAATTATATCTCTTTTTTCTATAAGTCTAGTTGTTCTTTTGAATGTATTTTAGATGTGGCAGTAATCTGATTAAATGGTAGGCAAATAGGTAATGCCAGGTAGGCTAGCCTAAGGAAAAATAGCCTATACTATAGGCTATGTGGTATTTAAATGATGCTGAATACAATTGGTTTGAAAACAATCACAGGTCAACCTACAATTCCCAGGAGGAAAATTAATATTGACATTATCCACATTGAAATTTGACCAGCTCTCTAATTAATAGACTATCTGTATTAAATTCTAGACATTCTTGATTAATGCATCCTCTTGCTCCCTCCCTCTGATATACATTGCATGACATAGCCTATGGGCCGACTATCACGTGTTATTATTGACTAAATCATCAGGTCATAGGCTATAGGCTTCATATTGATCAGATGAACTCAAACGTCGGTGACCCATTTCACTTTGGTAAGGATGACATCTAACTGAAAACGATTATTGATAAGTTCATGTTCAGTGTTTCATTAAGGATGACACTTGATGATTTTTTTTTTCAACCAATGACATGTTTGTTAAAACATAGGATGCTTCATTTGCATACCATTTAGCATTTCTTTTTTTTTAAATCTAAGATACTCTGACAAAGAAAATATGAGGTTGAAGGAAAGACAAAGAGAAACAGAACGAGTGGGAGAGAGATCCAGAGGGATGTGCTGACAGCACAGTGCGTCTCTTGGACTCATCAGCATGAATGAACGCATGGATGCAACTTTTCTCCTCTGAGGGCTTCGCTTAGTTTATCCGACAAACTGCACAAGCTTCCTGAACCACATGGAAACTCTTACACATAACTCTTACACTCAGCTGCACAAGAATGAAAAATGCGTCTGAAGCTATACTGCCGTTGTGTTGCACAAGGAAACACACTCACACACATGCACAAACACATACGGATAAAGGGGTGCAGGAGTCAGTGCAGAAATGTTCCTGCGTTATCACCCAGCTCCACCGACACAGAGCAGCACAGACGTCACGCTTCACACCTGAAAGGTCGACTTTATTTTCCCCTCCAGTGGTGAGGCAGCTGTGTGGGCCTGCAGGATGTTCAGGTGATCGGTGGAGGACTGATAACACAGCTGTCTGCATGTTTCCTGCCTTCTTCAGGATCAAATTGTGTGTCTGGTATCGACTGCCTCTGCCTGTTGTTGAACAAACATGTATTGATGACTTACATACAGAACATCCATCCATGCATTTGCAAATGTTGTATTGATCTGACACTGGTGCATGTGTTGTTTTGTTAAGCCGTCCTGGTTGCTTCTTTTTAAATGATGGACAAAACCAGTCTTAATTTATGTAGCTATATTGAGACTGGTTTTGATGTGCCGTTGTGTGTTGGCTGGTTTATGATTTGTCTTTGACTACACTCCCTCTGCTGCTTCAAAGAAGATGTTAATGAACACAACACAAAGAATAATGCAATACATCCACAATGTAAACCACAGCAAAAGTGAACTCTTCTGTAAATTAAGTTCTGAAATGAACATCACCATTTAAGACTGCCTGAGATATGTATAGACAAACAGGGTTAGTAATTAGTACATCAGAGTGTAAGGCTTCGTTTAAACAAGATCCCTTGGTCTGTTGATAACAACAGCCGACAACACATTATGAAAAAATGTCTGAAAACGCTGTAGAATACATGCCAAGCCAGAAGTTGTCATGAAACAACAAGCGTATGCACACATACTCTTCCCTCAGAGAGCAGTGAGGTAAAATATACAGAAACAGTTAACACCGCCGGATTGTTGATGGACGGTCTGCCTCCCCCCACCCCCTTGCTCCCTATCCCTCTTCCTGCATCTTATCCCATCTCTCCCCCTATCCCTTTCCAACCCCGGCGCAGTCTAGGCCTGTGAAGGCTGTTTCGTCATGAGCCAGGGATCCGGCCGAAGATTTCTGCCTTTTAATAAGGCAGTTTTTTCTTACCACTGTAACTTTTGCTGCTTTGCTAAAGTGCTCATGATGGATAGGCCGGGTCTTTGTAACATAGCAATAAGTAAGGTTTTTACCTGCTCTTTATAACATAACAATGAGTAAAGTCTTTTACCTGCTTTTTGTAACATAACAATGAGTAAAGTCTTTTACCTGCTTTTTGTAACACAACGATGAGTAAGGTCTTTTTACCTGCTCTTTTGTAATGTTAACAGACAAAGAGTAAGGTATTTTACCTGCTTTTTGTAAAGTGTCTCGAGATAACACTTGTTATGAGTTGACGCTATACAAATAAAATTGAATTGAATTGAATTGAATTAATACACAAATATTTGTGTGGCCTGACGATGAGGTGGGGTTGTCTACATAGAGAGTTAATTTCAAATAAATGTCGACTGGGAGTGAGCAGCACAAACAAAACTCTCAATCCACAATAGTTGTATTCGTCCATCTACTTGCACATGGCTATTGACTGGAAGTGCAATGCACATGCATGTAATGGCACCATTTCAAGAAGGAACAGTGTTTTTAGCAGTGTCGTTTTCAAAACTTTGCACTCTGTTGCTGTGAGGAAGAACAGCCAAGCTGCATTGCAAAAACAAAAAGCAAAATTAACTATTATCCATGGTGGATAGTAATGATAGTAAAGTTAATTCAATTAAGAGTATTTCTACACTGTGAAAGAGCACTTTCAGTCATATAAAACAAACAGTAGCCTGCGGGTCTCTGGGGGGCTTCTGTGGGCTGGCTGTTATCAGATTTGCTGCTGCGACAGTGAATCTGTGTTGATATTCTGCTGTGCAGGTTGGTATTTACTTAACCGCTCAAATGGTTCAAACCTGTCCTCCTGCCTGGCAGAAAAGTCACGGCTCGGCTGCTTCCATCTATCACACAAAGATGCAGATTCAGAGATGTAGAGAGTCACTCTCCTCTGTGTCTCCTCTCCACCCAGCTGCTCTCTCTTCTCTACCTCTCTGTCTCTGCTGCCAGTCTCAATAAGCTCCACCCCCCTGTGTTACTGTTGCTATACCTGCTTTTTACTAGATGGTTTGATATGAAGATGTTTGCAGAGTTACAGTTAACATTCTTCACATTGGTTATTCAGCATGCAAGTCACAGACCCTGCATGGCCTCAGGTTGTCAGAGAGAAATATATACTGACATTTTTATAAAGATCTTCAATTTTTTTTGTTTTATTTTGAAACTCTCTTGTTAACATTTAATTTAAAATAAACTGTCTACTGCTCCATAGAAAAGTTCTGAATGTGTGTGTGTGTGTGTGTGTGTGTGTGTGTGTGTGTGTGTGTGTGTGTGTGTGTGTGTGTGTGTGTGTGTGTGTGTGTGTGTGTGTGGTGATAGTTGGCTGCATATTTTGCTCCATCATATACCCTGCATGTATGTTTGTAGGATTTCATCACTTCTTTTAAAGATAGGATGAAAGGCAATTAAAGAAAAATTTGAAAAAGGTAATACAGCCAAAATTGACATTTGATGTTTTTTCACATATGCAAAAAAACTCAGGATGAGCTTCATGTGTGAAGGCAAACAGCTGAGTTTTATACCTCAACTTTAGAAAAATCAGTTTGAAGTAAGGTATAAAACTCTTTTCTGCTCGCTAATCGTCTTATAAACTTGTCTACGGTGGCCGGTAGGGGTCAAACGCTCAGCAACTGATGAAACGACATACATTTTAGAACAACGCGCAGCATATATAGAAACGCTGCACATTCAGAAGCAAATGCAAACTACCACAACAAATGCAAAGGCTGAAACGCGCTGCAAAGACACAAACGCGCTAATGCTAGCTCCAGCTGAACTTATCCCTCTGCATCCGCTTTACCAGCCTGACACTTCGTGCTTTCGCCATCAGAAGCTTAAGTAGGCTACGGGACTTCCGTCTACCAATGTGTCAGGCTGGTAAAGCGGATGCAGAGGGATGAGCTGCAGCTGGAGCTCATAGCCACAGAGCTAGCTCTAGCGCTCCGGGCACCCCGGGGCTACAGCCACGGACCCACACTCGGCTCTCGTCTCAAAATATTGAGTCATAATTTTAACCCAAATAGGCAACCTGTGAACGAGAGAGAGCACTGTCTAAGTTGCACAAATAATTTGCCAATGTTTCAGGCTATATTTACAATCAAGATTATTTTTCTGGTTATTAAAAACTAGAAATTACCCTGCAGGTGAAGGGGACCTCTGTTTTTATTTTGCTGTGGTATAATAATAGGTTTTGATATTTTTTCATCTCTACTAATATCACATCGAAGTTTAAATTCTGACATCCCCGTGACAGCCCAGTTTCACACTGAACTTCCAGGAGTAACAGTTCCGCCTTCAAAAGGCTGTGTAAGACAATAAGGATATTTATTACTGGAATGGTCCTGGGAGACAGTCAGACTAAATACATAATGGAGGGAAAGCTAATGAGCGACAGGAAAGACTAATGAGGGCGAGGCAGGGAGTCAGTCAGGCAGAAAAAATGCAAGAGCAGTGAGAGTTATTGAAATGAGAGGAGAGCTGAGTATATATCAACATAAAACAGGAAACAATTAACTAATCACGAAAAACCACCCTATGAATCAGATCACAGTGACTCCCAAATGTTTAATTATTCATTATGATAATTCCTCTTTCATTAAAAAGACAAAAAAAACTAGCAGCAATTCAATCAGTTTGAGGTACTGTAACTGTCTTCAACTGATGATGATGTTTGTTTTGTTTGTTGCCGATCATTTTTTACAAACATGACATCCTCAAATGTCTTTTGTGCACAATCAAAATTAATTCAGTTTTCTATCAAATGTGACTATTAG